CATACATACACAATACAAATTTAATATACAAAAATTCTGTGCGTCTCTTGGGGGCTAAGGCCCCCTTGTCCTTAAAACCTAGTGACACCCCTGTCGCTAATGCTAGTAACAAGTTAACCCCTGTTATTCCTATGTGCTGGATCTACTTGAAAATAATTAATTTAGCTTCTGTAAACCCAAATTCAAGTACATGCACAATAAAATATCTGAAAAAAGGATTTAAACGATACGATCTTTACGTGTTAGAAAGTGATCGCTCCAAACTCTTGCTGTGTTTGTTTCTGCACCTCCTGTTTTAAGCCGTAGATTGTTGATCCACTTTTATCGTCTKTTTTTTCTGACACGCTACTTTCGGAACACAAAAAAAACTTTTTTCTTTCTCAATTGGAGCGGTTCCAACAACTGTACACGGCACAGAATTTAGGCATTTTGACATTGAAACTGAAGGACATGGGGCTACATTTACGTCCTGCTCCCCGTCTGCATGTCGTGACGTCAATACTACGTCATCTGCAACCCAGCATTACATAAAACATTGTTTTTGTGTAGGTTTGATCATTTCTGAGGCTTATCTTTGTTTAGTTTTTACATTAGAGCTGCTTTTTAACGTTTTTATGTTTCTGCTACACTAACAGGAGATTTCGAGAGTCCTCCCATCCTCCTTAGAGTTTCTCCTGATTCGTGTGTTTATGAGTTGGAGTGGTACACAGCTGCTGCCTGCATCCTCTCAAAGACTCAAGGAGACAACTGCGTGGTGGAGGACCCTCAGACTGGTACGACACAAACACACCAGTTTGTCCATCCTWATATCTGACTTTAAATATTTCAGAAAGAGAAAATGAAGGAACAGGTAGTGGTGGGCACAGCTAGCTAAAATATTAGCTTCACTAACCTCYAAACCTTAGTTCCACTAATACCAACATCACTGCTTGGACTGCAGTAATTCATGATMTAGACCATGTAGTCCAAGAGTTATACCATGTTTATCTGCAGAAAAGTACCAGCAAGTTTGATGGTGCCCCATTAAACTACATCCCTTCCAGGTATAAAAAAAACTATTTCTTACAAAATTTCTTCTGGACACAAAGTCAGAATTAAAAATTAATGCTAAAAATCATGACTTTGACTATGTCTATAGATAATTTCTGACCATAATCACCAGATCTTTTGCTTCAGATCTGTTTTTTTGGTACCAAAATTTTAGAAACTGATTGCTTAACTAAATCCAGGTAACTAATATTGAACTTATGAAGCTATTTACAGCTGGCATCCACAAAAAGTGCTAAAAAGTGTCAAAATTTGAGCTTTTTTTGAAAATCTGGTCTTGCACTTTCCCCAACTGTTCTGTCAGTACAAAAATATCTTCAGACTACTAATTAAAAAACATAAGGTAAGATGTACAATGTCATCGTTTTTCATTCTAGAAACAAACAAATAATGCCAACCCTCTAAATTATTTTGTAAGAAATGGGTTTTTTATACCTGGAAGGGATGTACTTTTATGGGGTACCATCAAACTTACTGGTACTTTTTATGCAGATAAACACGGTCTATCTCTTGGACTGATGCTCCCATATTCTGTTAGTAATATACAGTGGTTTGCAAAAGTATTCATACCCCTTGAACTTTTCCATATTTTGTCACATTACAACCACAAACATAAATATATTTCACTG